CATCGCAGTAATGCCAAAGTTAATTAACATCTAGCTTTTACGAAATTGTTTCTTGCCTGCTGCTGCCGCGTGACACGAAATAAGAGATTTTATCATCCGTGTTGCATTAAAATGCAATAAAATTAAAAAAACCTTTGTAAATGGATATACAATCTGGCGAATTATGAAGAGAGCTTACCCCCCTTTTGAAAGTTGCACCAGTCGCGACCCGATCCTTGTTGCTGCTGTGTTATATTATATCGTCGTCATTATTGTCGCGTCTGGCTCGACGCGCGCGCGACGATTGATTTTACGCGAATGACCGCAGCCGCTGCGCTGTGTGTGGTCCGTGCACCACCAACGACGTCAAACTCGTAAATATATCCTGGAAAATTAATCACTTCGGGGGTGGGCGAAGAAAAAGTATGCGCGATATGCAAGCGATCATTTTCACAACGTCTGAGCGCGCGCTTATACGTATTGTGTACGTGTGATGTACGGCTCGTGACCCGAATCGTCCATTACCGAAATGAACACAAAATATATATAATGCGTCGTTAGCCTGAATTAATGTAATACGTTTTGCTCATACGTATGCGCGCACAACTCCGCGTATAAACCCGCGCGAGTTTTCCGCGCGCGCAAATCCACCAGCTGCAAAAAATATTTTACTCTCGTGCGCGCGCGTCAATGTCAGAGAATTCTCTCATGCACTACAAATATAATAATGCACGTGTGCTGCTCTAAGTGCATAATAGTTGTCGTCGTCATCGCGAGGTCGTTCCTTTTTTTTTTTTTTTTGTTATTACTTTTGTAACACTTCCAACTTTTGTTCTCTAGCTCTCGCTGCTGCTGCAGCTGCTGTGCCGCGCCGCCGCCCTCTAGGCTGCTGCCCTGGTTCGTGAAAAATTAAATCTCCCGAGCGACCTTCGATTCCCTTCCTCGTCGTGCCGCACCGCGCTTCTATTTCCAGAATTTCTTCTCTCTCGGAGAACACGCCTCCGCAGAGTGCATATGTGTATACGCTTCATCCCTCGCGAATATTACGTGCGAGATCAATTTCGCCGCTTTTCAGAGTCTAGCTCTCTCTCTCTCTCTTTATATGTATGTTTTCCAACGCACAGGCGCTCGGGTATGATATTGCTATGTAATGGTCATGTCCAGAATGCGGGGCTTGGCGCGCGTATAGCAGTAGTGGTAGTATACACCGCGCAAAGCCCGAAAGCTATACCAGACAATGAAAACCTGTATCATGTTGGCTTGTATACACATATGGCCGACTTGACCTGGAAAAGTCGGTTATATATCGTTGCGGGGAAAATGCGCGCTTTTCACGAGGGAAAGAAAGACTGAAAATACATCAACCTGCGAGATGTCGTGGTACGCATATATTGCACCCACACACACACACACAGCCCGCCTGTCGTGTAGTATAATATTCGACTCGAGGTGGAGGAAAAAAAAGACTGGTTGTAAAAATAAAAACGCATCTCTCTGACATCGAAGCATGTAACGCGCGTAAAAACAAGTTGTCGAGGTGTACGGGGGTGTGTGAGCTGGTTGAATAAAAAAAAGAGAGTAAGAAAAAAAAGGGTCTATGTTTTTTTTTATATTTGCAACGTGCGGCAGTAGCTCCAACGCACGAAACGCTGAACCAGCAGCAGCAGCAGAGCCCAAGCGTCCGCCGCGCACGTACCAAACGAGGAAGCTATACACACGATTTTGTCCCAAATATAACATTTAATTTCATTGCCAATGGAATAAAAAGAGAAAGAGAGAGAGAGAGAAGAAGAAGAAGAAGAAAATAAAAAGGAAGAGAGAGATTATTTGCGCGCCCAGTGGCGTATCAGACTATCGTACTATATAGGCACCGATATAAATGCTTAAACTGCATTTGCTGCAGATCGTGCTCGGGCGTACTTTTGCAGATAAAGTGTATCATATACGTGCTACACGATATATGTATATAGTAAAACGATAGAAGGAGAGCTTCTCTCTTAGTTATTTATTCGAATCGCGCAACGATTTCTCTAACGAGCTCTAATGAAGAATCAATGGTAATCCAATGCCAGTCGACCCTGCCTTACACCAACTCTCGCCGCGGCTCTCTCTCTCTCTCTCTCTCTCCCTCTTTCCCAGCTCTACTGCTGCCGTACTTGATAAATTCTCTCGAGCGAGCGAGCGTTGATAAGTCAAGGATGCAACTGACCCTGATATAGCCACATAGACAGTAGTAACAGCAGCAGCAGAGAGCAACTCAATTAAAAAGTAACGCCTAAATGAATAAAGAAACGAGAGCTTGCGAGCCTTCGCGCGCGTGCACGGCAATCTCGTTTATATATTAAATGTATGAAATCTTGATACATAGACATTCGCACAGCTCGCGCGAGCAAGAGAACCCAGACAGAAGAGGACTCGAGCTGTACTTTTGCCCGATGCGAAGACACGGTCATCTTTGCTTGCTTATACCGAGCTTGCAGAGCGAGCTTGCGCTAGTCTGGCGCGCGCTTATATTCTCCCATGCCAACGCCGTCTGGTGTATATAGCCTCTCGCTCGCGCCCGTAGTATATACAACACTACTCAACTTTGCTCATCTGTTAAAGAGCTGCATCTCCGAGAGTGCTTCGCTGCGAAACACATTACACACGCGCGCGCCGCCGCCACCGCCGCCGCCGAGAGAGAGAGAGAGAGGCTCTGTATATTCTATAGCACCTAGCCTGAAGTATAAGGTCGTTCGAGGCGGTACATACACTGTTATACTATGCGTGTATATACGTCAGAGAGAGTCTGCGGTGTTACGCGCTGCATCCTATATGCACATAATATACACATCAAAGCTGCAGCACATAGCTGTACGCGCGCGCGAGAAAGAGAGACGCAAAGAGCCGTATGAGTTTTTTACTGCTGCTGCTACCGAGAGCTTGCGCGCGTGCAGTGCGCCAGCCAGCCAGAGAGAGGCTTTCTTTACCCTTTTGCGCACTCCCTTTTTTTACTCTCTTTTTCCTTTTTTTACTCCACTTACATGCCTTATAGCACGTTTATTCTCTCAGGCATATGGGCATCACACACACACACACACACATTTGCCGGCACATAAGAAAAGAGAAGAAAGATTCACAATCATTCGGGGTGTGCAGAGCTACTACGGCGTTTTTCCTCTCTTTCTCTCGCTCGCTTTCATATTTGTGTGCAAAATATAGTCGAGTTCAGCTCGACTCCGTGTGTGCCCGCGCGTGCTTATACGCTCGTACGAATACCCCGTTCGTACATATGTACATATAACTATACAGCTGAATATTGTAATCGCTTTTAACGAGCACCGGCTAACTCTGTGCACCGTGTGCACACGCAGTAGTCTCTGCAGGCTGTATGTGGGTCTACGTGTGTGCGGCGCACGTCATGTATCCGCCCGTGTTCGCGGTACACACACACACACACGCACACACGTAAGCGCGTTCCTTTTTTTTGCTCCTATACCTGCCACTGCGTACTCGTTTTATGTATGGATCGACCCCTAGAGATGGCATTAATGCTCCGTGTGTGCGAGACCATGGTCGTGGCCTGTGACCGGGGCCAAGCCTCTCGGCTCGTTTCAGCTCTTTTTTTTCTTTCTTTTCGTTTTGTTTTGTTTCTTCTTTGCCCGTTGACAAATAAGGCATGATTTATAAAAATGCATTTTGTCAACGACAAGTCTCTGCCGTATGATCCATTCTTATGCCGCAGCTGTTACTGCATGCTGCTGCTGCTGCTGCTGCACGAGCCACGAGCCGAGGGAAAAGTTTTGCACACTTCGAGTAACAAAGATCATAAACAAAAGAGAAGGAGAGAAAAAAAGACGAAAGGAAAAAAATTAGCGCCTCGAGCCAAAAAAGTTTATGACGTGCGCGTTATTATTTTTAATGATCGAGTAACGTAAGACAATTGATATCGATCATTCCGGAGGAGTTGCTGCTGCTGCAACGCACGAGATAATAGTTAGCTAAAGAAGAGAGCGTCTCGCGGATAAATTTACGACTTCTCCGGGAGAAAATCATTAATTACTCGCCCGCCTCTGGGCCACGCTGCTGTTCTGCAAATTATTCTAATCGCTCGTGTGCATGTGCGTACGCGTGTGTGTGAGAGTTACCACACGAAGGCAGAGTGAGAGGCACGGGGAGGCGGCGCTCCTTCTCGCAGTAGTCTCTCTATCTTCTTTACGGCTTCATCAAATTCCCAACGAGGCATTATCTCCTCCAGTGGTGCTTGACTGTCTGTGCTGCTGCTGCTGCTACTGCTTCTGTGTGACGCTGCCACTACTGCTACACCACTAGCTGCAATCGATAAGCCCAAAACAACATCATTTCCGTCCTTGATATCCTTGTCGCGGTCATTATATACTGGAGAGAGGAAAGGAGCTGTGCACGTGGGAGAGATGGTTGGCTGCTTTAGAGGAGCAGCCTCAGTGGTAGTGCGAGTGTACATGTGTAGCACAGAGATGTCAATTGAGCCCATGGCCTACAAGGCGTACGAGCGTCGTATATAGCATACATATGTAGGTATATATAGCAGCAGCAGCAGCAGTGGCACAGGACGTGGCTTACCAAACTTCCACATAGGCTGCATGTGGAGCAACGAATAGATGCATACACGTATATACCGCTATGCAGAAAGAGAGAGAGAGAGAGAGAGAGAGAGAGAGCAGCAGTAGCAGCAGAGATCTGTGTAGGTGGGTGGGTGTGTGTGGGGGTGCAAGGGAGGTAAGTCATGAGACGCCCTAGCAGCAGCAGAGGCAGCAGCATAGCAGCGTTGGCGCGCAGAGTACGCGCAGCACTCGCAAAGAGGAAGAGAGAGAGAGAGAGAGAGAGAGAGAGAGCGAGCTATATACGAGGGAGGGAAAGTGGAAACGTATATTCTGCGCGTGATTCGAGTTTGCGCTCTCGGAGCCTGGCTCTGGTGGTGCAGCTGCAGCAGCAGCAGCAGCAGCAGAGAGGAGGCTTTAGAGCCGGGCGGCGCTGGATGTGGCACTAGTCGTTAACGGGTGCTCGCGCAAGTCGATACTAGTAGAGAGACAGAGCTGTGCTGCTGCCGCCACCACCACCACCAGCAGCGACGACGAGCGAGAGCAGCGGTGCATGTGTCGTGGCCCTCCCGCGCATATACGAGTGTGTGTGGGGAGTGAGTGAGTGTGTGTGAGCGTGTGCGTGCAGGCAGGCAGGCAGCGAGGCAGCAGTCGACGTCGCGTCGGTGTGTGAGGGTGCACACAGAGCCTTTCCCCCCTTGCAGAGTTGTTCTTTTACTCGCTTGCACCGCCACCGCACCACTACTACCACTACCACCACCACGCCGCTACTGCTATTACTACTACTACTACTACTATTACTGACTTCGTTGCTGCTACTACTGCTGCTGCCGTGTGCCTAATTTAATAAAGTTCGGCGACGACGCACTCGACACGCATCGAGGCAGTCGATTCTGAAAGCAAAAAAAAAATTCCGAGCAGCATCGGCAGCGTAGCAGAGCTTTTCATCAGCTGCGGGGGTGCGGTGGGTGGGGAGGCCGCCACACACGTCGTTTCAAAGATCCTCTCTCGTCATTTTATACATCGCGAGCGAGCGATTCTTTCTACGGGGGTGTATACCGCTGATACTAGGCCAATAGGATCTATATAATATATACACATTTGCAGCTGTGTACTGGCGCCTGTGTATGTATACCGAGCGGAGCGCGACTCTCTCCCTGTGTTATATAGGGGGGTGAACGACAGAGTGTCCTGCGCGCCAGCTACGCCCAGGATCAGCAGCAGCAGCAGCAGCAGCAGCAGCAGCAGAGGCAGCGGCAGCAGGAGAGGCACCGCCGCCGCTAAGCGACTGAACCTCTGCCACCTATAGATATATACATTATTATCAGGCGTTCGCTCGCTCTCGCTTCGCGCGCTCGTGTTGGCAGCGCGCAAGAGGAGTAAGAGAGAGGAGAGAGAGAGAGTAAAAGAAGAGAGCAATTTCAGCGCTTCTTCTTCCTTTCCTCTTCTGCTCTTTTTAGCGGGAAGAGGAAAACTACTCGAGGAACATTTTTTTTTACACTCTGCAACTCGACGCACGCCTCGCCTTCGGGATTCGTGTGCGTCTTTCTCTGCTAAACTAGTGGTGTCTCTGTTATATACCGTACAACTACGACGAAGGATACAGTGCAGTATCGCGACCTATGGTGCGTCCCTGTGTGACAATCGCTGTTCGCTGGCGGCGGGCTCGCTGACAAGCAGCAGCAGCTGCGGTACAGTACGCAAGAAGTAAGAAGGAGTACAAAACAGCTCATCGGGGACAAGTCGATGTTGTTGTAGCCCCGCGTGGATTATCCCGTCGATGTGTGGGTGGGTGCGTGTGGCGGTGTTTGTGTGACGACAACAGAAAAAAAAACATAAACAAAAAACAAACGGTGCTATCCAGAGCTGTGCCATTACCGTAGTAGCTGCTGCTACACACGCACACGCATTCAGGCACACCTCTACGCATCGCACGTGTGCTTCGATACGAGCGGAGGAGAATCACGTCGTCACCTTGGTCTACAAGCAACAAAATAAATAAGCAAAAATGGCCTGGGGATACTGGAGCGCGACTTCGGTCGACCGGGGCCGCTCGCCCAGGCGCGACAAGGAGCGTCACGCGGCCGGCATACAGTACCAGCAGCACCAGCAGCCCGCGGCACCGGTTCAGCACCAGAGCCGCGAGCAGCAGCAACAGCAGGAGCTCCAGCAGCACCTGCTGCAGGTCAAGGCGGACGTCGAGGAGCAGCCCCAGAGTCTGCAGCAGCTGCAGCAGCAAGCCGCGGCCATCGCCGCCGCCACGGCAGCCGCTCAGCCGAGCCAACAGCAACAGTCGAGCCAACAACAGATGCAGGCCGAGCCCTCGAGGGCCTCCACGGCGGGCATAAGCTTCAATCCGGACCCGCCCTCGGGCGGCGGTCCCACGATACCGCAGATCAAGGCCGAGTTGGCCGCGGCGGCCGAGTGCTTCGACGAGACCTGCAATCGCATGTCCCAGGGCGGCTCGTTCTACTCGTACCTGGCGGGCAGCACCAGCGGCTCCCGCAGTCGTCTGATCGACCAGATCGGCGTACCGTCGGCGCATCTGCCACGAGCCTCGGCCGCTTCGAATTATCCGCCGCCCTCGCCGCCCGGTGACGAGAGCGACTCGGTGGACTACGAGCAGCCTCGTCACCACTTCTCCGCCTCGTTCCCCTACAACATGAACTACATGCACCACGACGAGCCGAGCAGCCTGATACACACGTCGTCGCGGATGCGGCTGATACGCGACGACGACGACATCATCGACGGCCTGTCGGACTTCGAGCTCGAGGACATCACACCTGTGGATCCGTACACGTCGCGGCTGCACCACGACACCTATCCCCGAATGCCCAGCGCCGGCGGCGGATGCAAGTTTCACGGCTACGCGCCCTACAACAGGCTGCCGTCGCAGCAGCCCCAGCACGAGCCCGCCGCGCCTACCTCGAGGTCGATGCCGTCGATGGGCCCGGCCCGAGACAGACACGATCATCATCACGGCAGCGGTCATCGGGAGCGACATCATCACGAGAGGGAGCGGGAGCGGGAACGAGAGCGAGAACGAGAAAGGGAGCACCATCCGCCGCCTTCGGCCTCGTCGGACTCGCAGTTTTGGTTCGACGACATCAATTGGGGTGAGCCTCGATTCTGTAAGCCTTTTATGAGCCACCGATAGGTACACACGTATACACACGCGCGTATTACATATAACTTAATTATTACACCAGTAATCGACGTATTGCCGAGAGCTAGAAGGGCGCATCCACGGAGAGATCCATATACGCTGCTGTAACGCGGAGAAGCTTGAATTATGATGCACGATAAGAGCAGAGCCGGAGCGAGTTTCCGAGTTATATATTGGCTAATGTTAGGGTTTGCTTCTCTCTGGTGTTGGGGCTATTAAATCGACAGCTTATTGAGATTGATCTCGAGCTCTCACTCTCCTCCCGGCTTATTATTAGATTTTCCGATAGATGGGCCACCGAGATATACCTGTGAGCTGCACCTCTGCTACTGAGCTACTGCTACAGCCTATCTCCGCCCTTATGTACCTATCCTCGATTTATAGGTATATATCTGAAAAGCACAGGTGGCTTTTATGAATCGACGCGCTGTCGCCGAGCTTTAAAATAGCGTATTTTTGTTTATAGCGCGCGCTGAATTTTCTACACACAAAGCTCGCTCGTTTCGCTTAGCCATCAGCGCCGAGGTATATAGGGGCGGCATAGCAAAATATTTTCGTTGTTATATCGCGAAAAACGAGGTATAACGGTGTAGATATTATAACCGATATGGCAGCCTCTCCGCCTGCTTATATGTCGTTATTCGTGTTATCCTATTTTCGAATAACAGAGTATACGATATCGCGTATCGCGTGTGTACGATAGTATACTAAATTTTTTAGCTTTATAACGAAGTGGCTAATCCACGCTAATCGTTCGCCCATCGTTGTGTTCCGCCGCCATCGAGTGGTCAGAGAGTCCAGAGAGAGAAAGAGATCGAAATGGAAGCTCGCCCGTATATAGTTTTGTACCGAGTTTGTGTGTTTATATAGGTATATCGTATTCGCTCTCTCGCGCTTCTCTGCCTCTCTCTCATCCTCTCTCCCTTTCTCTCTATTATATATCCGATGAAATTCAACTCTATTGAGTAAAGAAATGCTGCGAGCGTTCACGTAAATGCACGTATACACACACGAAGCACACACACACACACACATTGGTATGTGTATACTTTTCTTCGAGAAGCTCGAGTCAGAGTTTTGCGTTTCCTGTTCACGATCGTATTTTAAGAATCCAATATCAATCGGAGTAAAAGGGTACCGATGCATACGAATCAGGACCTCGACGTTGTCGTCGTCGTAGTCGCGATTCGTCGACGAAAATAAGTTTATAAATGACACAAAGCGAGCACGTAGGCAGTGCTGCTGCCAGGCAAAGCGTGTTCATTACTGCGAGAGCTCGTTATAAATGTAAAAAGGGGAAGAAAAAAAGAAAGGAGAGAGAAATGTATGAAACATTATTTTTCGCTTTGACACGGGCGAGCGAATAAATTCGCGCGCGAGCGCTGCTGCGCACTTGGGTTCAATTGAACGACCAATTGACGCGAAATTAGCGAGCGAAACGTAATAATATACCGTAGACTCGGCGAGCACCGGCATTCTCCCTCTCTCGGCTCAAATTTTATACGCATGCCTTCCCTCCGAAGCAAAAATGTTCGTGCGCAAAGTTCGAACACACGCATACTTTACGCTCTTATCCCGCTCCGATTACCTAATCAATTGTATATATCTTTGCCGGCAGTAGCGGCAGCGTTTCTTTGCAGAGGTGAACGATTTTACTTTCGCATGATTAATTTCTCGGGCGAATTATTTTCCCTATACTTGCCGCGAGCGTATAATATGTAAAGGCAGCTCTAATATATATCGGCTGTACGCGAACCGAGCTCGATTCGTATAATATAGCTCTCGTTCGTTCGCTCGCTCGCTCACTCGCTGTGTGCAGTGGTGAACTGCTGAGCTTGTGGATAATTTAGCCCGCCCGCGAAATCGATCTAGAAAGTGTGTGTAAGATAAATTTTAAGTTTCGTCTACTTTCAAAGAGAGAGCTAGCTAGCTCTAGCCCGTGCGTATATACGTATACGAGCTTTAATACACTGCCCCGACGCCGCCGCCTGAGTCAAGTGCTACGTACATTGATTTTCCTTCAAAGCTTTCGAATTTTGCGAATTACGAAAAGGGATAGAAATAAAAAAGTGGAGAGAAAAATAAAAAGGAAATTCGCGCGCGCGCGCGTGTGTAACTCGTATGAATGTATGTAATGTAAGGCGAGAGGAATCGAGAAAATTTCGCGGCATTACATGAAAGCTCAGAGCTCGGAACCATATTGATTTCTTTATCAAAATAAGCTCGTCTCTTCTCCTTCGAGCTCGCTCCCGAGCCAACATGAAACTTGAATCCTGCCTCGTATGTGCGACTAGAGTATGTGTGCAGAAATATCTTTGACTCGATCTCTATTTCCCGCTTTCTCTCTCTCCGCCTCACCTCTCTCTGGCATCGACGCGTTCAAAATCAGATTTGCGTTTAAGTATCTTGTTCTATGTGTGTTGCGCGCACTCCCCGCAAGACTCATCCCCGCAGAGAGAGAGATTGCGTAATTGTTATGTTCGCTCGAACGTTTATATATAAAAATTAATCAAGCGTAAATCTCCTTTACGCGTGAGTACTTGTGTACACGCTTGTGTCTCTCACTTACCATCTTTCACTCGCTCGCTCCAGCTAAAAGTGCAACTACGTATTAATAATGTAGTATTGGTTTCCGCGTGCGCAGCGCGTATGTACGCGATATAGCGATACGGTGTGCGGTGTCATTAACCGTAACTTACGGAACATTGCACTTATGTAACTCTCACGCGTGTGTGTAATATATATATATATATATACGTATACTCATATAGGCGTGTCGTCGTCGTACTGCAAGTGCATGCGTACGAGCATGTGTACGTGCGGTGTGCGCGCATAGAGAAGTTCATGTAGGTCAGCCAGTAGTACGAGCCAACCGAAAGAGAGAGAGAGAGAGAGAGAGAGAGAGAGAGCAGAGAGCAGTAGCGATTTGCGGGGAGGGAAGAAGAAAACAGGCGACTTTTCGCTGACTTTGTTACAAACTGCTTGATTAAAAGGCCACACACACACACACACACACACACACATACATACATACAGCAGACGTAGCCACACACGATGCTGCACATATTGAATAGCGAACTTATACGCATTATTGAGCAGCGCCGCTGATGCGAGCAAACGGCGCCTAGCGTTTGACCATTATATTATTTATCGCGACGGCGGTGGCCATACATGAGAATTGTTTTTCTTGAAAAGTCTGGTTTAATCTCGATATCGCAAGCTGCTGCTGCAAGCTTCTCAAGCGAAGCGAAAAATATACACGCAATTGACGCATATCGCCTAGCACACAGCCTCGCGGCAATATTCGTCCTCGATATATATACGAGGCTCTCGAAAGACTACTTCCTCGTCGATCCATTTCCATCTTTGATAACTATCTCTCCGACATTATATAAAAATACAAAAAAAAGATTCCGTTTGTGCTAAAAAGTTGGCCCGGTGGCAATTGCAATTCGGCGAATCGAAGATACACGACGACTCTGTTGGATCGAAGGTCAGGTCGATGTGTGTGCATGCACATGCTACGTATATGTGTATGTGCCGACGATTGTCTCGCCTCTCTTTGAAGTATTACACGTCGTCGGAGTATGTATGTATATGTACTCGTAGCACAAGTGAAACAGCTCGTTCTCATGCACAGATGCATATTTTACGATATCGCGTATACGTAAGTGTGTTTGAAATTGTGATAAAGTAGAAAGATCACGACATCTTTCAACCTACATTTAACAATCGATTCGCTTCGAATGTAGAGACTCGACTCGAGCAAAAAAATTTCGACATTATTACCGCACGCCCTAAAAGCAGCAGCTGGGCTGCTATCGTGTAAAAGTCGCGATGCACAGAGACGATGACGACGACATTGGGGGTGGTGCGACTCAAAGGCGCACACGAGGCACATTACAGCTCGCTGTGCGTGTGTGTGTGTGTGTGTGTGTGTGTGTTGTGTAGGCACAAGCGGCGGCGCGTCGTATCGTGTCATCTTTCGCGAAAGTTGGGCTGAGTCGTGCCATTATACGCAATGGATGTGCGGTATAAATTTAGATTAATCTAGCGGGAAAGGAGTAAAGCGTGCGTCTCGCGAGCACGAGACGCCCAGCGGAGCTTCATTTTCGTCTCGTCGACTACTTACACTGCAACACACCACCTACACACGCCCCCCGCAGCGGCGACGACGGGCCCGAGACTGCCGCTGCTGCAGTACGCGCAGTTCTGCTCTAACTGTATGCACACACTTTGCGCTCGCGCGCGTGTACACACATACATTTAGTCAAAGTCGATGTTGTTGTGTGTATATAGGCAAAACTTAGGCATATACACAAGTTCCTCCTATGCGCGTACGTGTGTATACAGTATAAACGCGTGTGTCGTCGATGTTAATTATGATACTGCACAGTATGGGGGAGGAGGGAAGGTTAAAGCGTGTGGCGCGCGAGCGAGCGAACGGGGGAGCAAATTGCGTCAAGTTTGTAAGTAAATTTAATGAAACTCGTTATTTATCGTGATTCTTTTTCAAGTGTTTCGTAATGTATACCGCCACGACAGAGAGAGAGAGACACACACACACATATATAAACACATCCTCCTCTACCTCCTACTCCCCTGCACACATGCAGCACACGAGTAGGTATAAGGAAAAGTGTATATATAATATACGCGCGCACACGAAAGTGGAGCTTTTGTGACAATTTTTCTAAAGCCGCGCGCGTATGAAGTACGTGCAGCTGTTATGAAATATATCCACACACACACACACACACTCCCGCGCCGTGCCGAGAGGTCGGGATTTTTTTTTTTTCTTTTTTTTTTCTTTTGCTCGTATAATTATGCAGTAATGTATATAACGCACGATAGCGCGCGCCGGGGTCTCTGCCGCGCGACTATTAGCATTTGCACTGCCGCGGCGCACACGTTGTAAAGCACTTATACACGCATACACACGCACATATG